ACACACACACACACACACACACACACACACACACACACACACACACACACACACACACACACACACACACACACACACACACACACACACACACACACACACACACACACACACACACACACACACACACACACACACACACACACACACACACACACACACACACACACACACACACACACACACACACACACACACACACACACACACACACACACACACACACACACACACATACATACATACAGACATTTTTTAGGAATATGATTTTCCGACGTTTTGGAACATTCTAAACACATTGGCATAGAAAACTCGAAAAAAAATTTTTGTCACGAAAACAAAGCTTCCTCTATGAGGAAGCAATAAAATAATTAAAAATTAAAAATTAACATTATAAATTTAAGCGCACGTTTCGGCCCTTCTTTTGGCCATCATCAGCGCACGAACCAATAATAGAATTAAAAAGATAAAATTATTTATTAATTCTTTCAATAGAAAGTAACATCATAAGATCTGTTTCTTATGACGAAGCCATAAAAGAATATATAAACGTAAAATGTAAAAAAAAATAAAAATTTAAAAACTTTTTTTCTCAAATCCTTTTGTTTTTTACATTTATGTTTTGTTTTATATCTATGTCAGTTATTTTTATTAATTTAATTTGTTTCTGTAAAACGTTAATGTTTCCGTAAACAGTTTATAGTTTTCATGAATATCATTTATTATGAATATATTTTATTCGAATTGTATATTTATTAATGTTTAAATGTTATCCTAAACTGTTATCTAGATAGAACAGAAAATTATAATGATGTCAAAATAACGAAAAACGATAAATTATGATAGAAAAGTTAGTTTTTAAAGTAATTTTTTCGTCATTTTTTGATGTCATTGTAATTTTCTATTCTGCCCGGAATCAGAGCCCCTGAAATAGTATTAGCATCAGGTTAGGTCCCGAAAAGTCACCATCCACCCTTGCTAGTGATGGCTGGCCTGTAAAATCTACATTATCTTTCCATTTTCAGAAACAAAAGTCGTTTTATTGAACCGAACACTTTTGAAAACACTAACAAGTTAGTTTATTTGAACTTATCCACAAATAATATAACTTACTTATATTCGGAGATATTTGGAAAATTGCAATCTTTGAGGACTTGAGGACGCTCGATTTGAGTTTCAACAAGCTCGAGGATGTCCTACAGATTTCAAATGAAACAGTAATCAGTATTTTGCCTCTTAATTATAATAATATTAAAAATATAATTTCAAATGCTTTCATACAAATACCGAAATTGACGAAATTGTTATTAGGAGGAAATCAAATCAAGAAGATTAATGTTAAAAGCATTCACTCAGCTTTCGCTTGTAGAAATATTAGATCTCTCAAAGAACAAATTGAGTTTTCTACCGAAAGGATTCAGTAAATCTTTAACATCTTTAAAATATTTGAATGTGGAAAGTAATCAATTTACTTCGTTAGAGTCTTTATCTTTGACAAGTGTGTCAATGGAGGCGTATGTGGCGATGAATCCACTTAAATATGTAAATGTTAACTACTTAAAGAGTTTGCCGCATAATCTTACCGTGAATTGGGTGCAGACCTCAAATTTTGCACACTGGAATTCTGATAGCTGCAGAGAATCAGAGCAACATTATTAATGATAAATCTTTTGCTCATCTTTCGCTTTTAAAGATAATTAGATCTGTCGAGGAAAGAATTAGTTTTCTACTGAAAGGTTTGAGTAAATCTTTCTTTAAAATATTTGAATTTGAAATAATCAGTTTACTTCGTTAGAATCTTTATTTCTGATAAATTTGTTATCATTGATGTATCTAGCGATAAATCCACTAGAATATTTACATATAATAGCGGTATAATCATTATTATTATAATTATTAATATTCATTTATATTTGTAATTTTGATTAGTTATTAATACTTAATTATGTTATGTGTTTTTTTTTATAATTACGGATAAATATATGTTATAAAATAATAAGTAGAATAACATATATGTAAACAGACAAAAAATAATCTATTAAAGAAATAATATAAAATAATATAAAAAAGATTTATTAAAACTTTGTCTCAAATTTTAGAATATTTTCTGAGCATATCTCTGTATAAATATTAAGAAATATTATCAAAAAAATTCTTAATGAGCTAAAAAAATTTGAAAAATCGGGGATAATTTAATCGATAAAATATAAGATAGATAATTTTAGTTTTTACAATGTTTCTTTAATCTATTTCAACTTTCTTCATTTTTTAATACTCTTCTTAATACTATCTGATATTATTTTAGTATAAGATATTGCGCAACCATTCAGAAATGTATAGATAACAATTTAAGAATCTTTACTTATTCTTTAATCATAAATTGCAAATTTTTTATATACATGTATTTTCTCATTTTTCTTTCTATATGATGTATTGTAAATATTGGAAAAGATAATTTTAAGATTTCTATAATGAAATAAGCTTACATTATAAAAAATTTCGATTTATTTTAATGAATATATTATAGTAAAACAATTTCTTGACAAACTTATAATGTGCTCGAAACGGAAATCCGGGTCATATAACATGAGATAGAAAATACTTATTTTTAAATTTATCTATAAAAAAAATTATAGATTAAAACTAACACGATTTTAATGAAGTTAGTTTCTGATACGAAATATACAGGATGATTCAGAAATATTTGTACAAATTTTGGATAAGTTCTCTACACATAAACAAGAAAAAAATGTCATATATACATATGTCCGATAATGTTTGGTTTATGAGTTATAATCGAAAGATTACATTCAACAACAAAAACTGACAGAATATATCTACAAAGACACATGACCAATGTAATACATCTTCACACACACACACACACACACAGTTCAATTATTTATCTATTCACAATTCACAACAAATGCTCAAAATGTCTTTCATCTGCTTCAATGCACGCTTTAATGAACATGTCGGATGGATGTCACTGTCGCACCCTTTTAAAGATCTCATGACGGTTGCGAATAATTTAGTATCTACTTCAATGTACCTACACATCGGCAGGTAAAGTTGTCTTATTGATAACAACTGAATGGGACAATTGACTGGAATTCAACTAGTTTTGTTGAATGGTACCTCGAAACCCAAGCGATGAATGTTTGTACAAGTATTTCTGAATCATCCTGTAGAAATCAAGAAAAGAAGATATCTGTTATCTTATGAATAAACATAGACGTTATTATCGCGTGTCTTTAATATATATCTAAGCGATATTATATTTTTTCATCCAAACTGACATAACAGCATGACTAGTATTCAAAGTGCAGTCATTGTATGAAGTACATCGGCGAGATAATTACCAATTAACTTGAACTTTAATTTTTTTGGAGAAAGGATTTTATAAAAATGGTATGTCTAGTTTTTATATTATTTTAAGAAAAAGTTTATAAAATAAAATCTTTTTTTATTATTTATACATTTTTTATTAAAGAAAAATATACTTTTACTCTCACGTTATAATAATTATTATATGGTTTTCGTGATATATAACTAAATTAATATCATAATAATTATTATATAATTTCAAAAATGGGAATTTCTGTTCTATATATAATATATATCCTGTAATTCATGTATTGTGTATTTTTCATCATTCCACATAATAATTTTTTATCATATTATAATTATACAGTTTTTATCTTTAATGTTATTAATATTAATTAATATAAATTTGTTTATTAGAATAATGTTATATTCTGAAAACTATTTCTTATTATATTTGTAAAAGAGATATTTTTTTATATTTACAGAAATCTCTGATGAAGTTTTCTTTTACAATCATCATTGTCATCTGTTGGTCTATGCTATCCATAGCCAATGATATCTCCTTGGAATTTCCCAATTATGTGAATGAGTCACTTGAAATTGGACATCAATGCAAGAATGAAATGATTTCTTTAAATTTTTCTAACGGAATGATCATCTCTATTGATCAGGATTTTATCAGTAGTCCTTTGATTACTTGTCTCAACTTCGCCGGCACTCATATCCAGAACATCAGAAAGGGCGCCTTCGACAAACTTCCTAATTTGACTAAACTGATTTTTTCAAACAACAATATCGATTTGAACAAACTCTTCGACTTTGGAGGTCACAAAAACTTAAAGATTCTTATTCTGGATAGTGTAATTAAGAATAATGTTCCCATATCATCTGCAGTTATTTCCGGAGAATACCCTAATTTAGAAATCTTATCTGTTCGTAAAAACCTCATCGATGACTTAGAAATTGTTACAGATGAAACTCGAGTTTCTGAATACGATCTTCGATTAAGATTACCTCCGCAAGTTATACAAAAAATCCCATTCCCAAAATTAAAAATTCTAGATCTTTCCAGTAACCGCATAACAGGTACCAATTTTATGGAGCTATTGCCAAACAGTTTATACTTTCTTGACCTCCATGATAACTCATTCACTTCTTTTACATTTGATAAAAAACAAGTAAACTTGTTAGCATTAAACTTGGATAAAAACAATCTGAAATCTGTGAAAAAGTATAATGATTCGCGTGATTCATCTGATCCATATAATACATATGATCAATATAATCGACAGTATAATTATGGAAACTATGATCCATACAATCCATATAATCAATATGGTCAGTATAATTCAGATAATCCGCATAATTTTGGTCTAGTGATGGCTGGCCTGGAAAATCTACATTATCTCTCCATTTCCGGAAACAAAATTGACTTAATTGAATCAAACGCTTTCGAGGATGCTAACAAGTTAGTTTATTTAAACTTATCCATAAATAAAATAACTCACTTGCATTCAGAGACATTTGAAAAATTACAATCTTTGAGATCGCTTGATTTGAGTTTTAATGAGCTCGAGAATGTCCCACAGATTTCAAGTGAAGTAATCAGTATTTTGTCTCTTAATTGTAACAATATTACTAAGAATCTAACTTTAAACAGTTTTGCAAAAATGCCGAAATTGACAAAATTGTTATTGGGAGGGAATCAGATCGACAAAATTAATGCTCAAACATTCACTCATCTTTTGCTTTTAGAAATATTAGATCTATCGAGGAACAAATTGAATTTTCTACCGGAAGAATTAAGTAAATCTTTAACATCTTTAAAATATTTGAACGTGGAAGGTAATCAATTTACTTCGTTAGAATCTTTATCTCTGACAAGTATGTTACCATTGATGGAGGTGTATCTGGCGATGAATCCACTGGAATATTTAGATGTTAGCTATTTCAAGAATTTGCCGCAGAATCTTACCATAAAGTTGGTACAGAAATCGAATTTTTCATACTGGAATTCCGATAAATGCAGGCCGATTTATGATTATAATTATTAATAATTATTTATATTTATAACTTTTATTAGTTATTAAATACAGTTAATCATGTTATATGTTTTTTTACAAATACGTATAACATATGTAGTATAATAATAAATAGAATAACATATATGTAAGCAGACAAAAAATAATGTGAAATAATATTAAAAATAATTTATTAAAATTCTGTCTCAATTTTTAGAATATTTCCTGAGCATAAATATCCAGAAATACTATCAAAAAAATTTTTAATAAGCTAAAAAAATTTGATAAATCGAGGATGATTTAATTGATATAACATAAGATAATTCTAGTTTTTATAATGTTTCTTTAATCTATTTCAACTTTCTTCATTTTTAATACTCTTCTTGATACTATCTGATATTATTCTAATGAGATACTGCGCAACCATTTAAAAAAATTAAAAGTTTGCAAAAAAAAAGACAAAATCATACACAAATATTGAGAAATATATTATTTTCTTGATATCTACATACGTATAGATAACAATTTAAGAATTTTTACTTATTCTTCTATCATAAATTGCAAATTTTTTACATACATGTATTTTCTTATTTTTTTATATCGTACATTGCAAATATTAAAAAAGATAATTTTAAAATTTCTATAATAAAAGCTTACATCAGAAAAGATTTCGATTTATTTTATTGAATATATTATAGAGTAAAGCAACTTCTTGATAAACTCTTATACTGTGCTCGTAAAAGGAAATCCGGGTCACATAACATAAGATAGAAAATACTTGTTTTTAAACTTAATTATCTATAAACAAAATTAGAGATTGAAACTAATACGATTTCAGTGAATTTAGTTTCTGATGCAAAATATAGAAATTAAGAAAAAAATATCTATTATCATGCTTTATCTTATGGATAAACACAGACGATATTATAGCGTATTTTTATACTTATCTATAAACATAATTACTGATTGAAACTAATACTGATTGATACTAATAGATTGCAGTTAATTCAAATTTAGTTTCTGATGTAAAATATAGAAATCAAGGAAAAAGAGCTATTATCGTGCTTTATTTTATGAATAAACGTAGGCGTTATTATCACATGTCCTTAATATATATCTGAGCGATATTATTTTTCATCCGAACTGACAACAGCAGAACTAGTATTCAAAGTGCAGTCATTGTGTGAAATACATCGGCGAGATAATTGCCAACTATAACTTGAACTTTAATTTTTTTGGAGAAAGGATTTTATAAAAATGGTATGTCTAGTTTTTATATTATTTTAAGAAAAAGTTTATAAAATAAAATCTTTTTTTATTATTTATACATTTTTTATTAAGGAAAAATATACTTTTACTCTCACGTTATAATAATTATTATATGGTTTTCGTGTTACCATGATATATAACTAAATTAATATCATAATAATTATTATATAATTTCAAAAATGGGAATTTTTATTCTATATATACATATATACATATATATGTCTTGTAACTCATGTATTTGTGTATTGTGTATTTTTCATTATTTCACATAATAATTTTTTATGGTATTATAATTATACAGTTTTTATCAATAATGTTAATTAATATTAATACGATTTTGTTTATTATAATAATGTTATATTTTCAAAATCATCTCTTATTATATTTCTAAAAGAGATATTTTTTTATATTTGCAGAAATCTCCGATAAAATTTTCTTTTACAATCATCATCGTCATCTGTTGGTCTATGCCATCCATAGCCAATGACACCTCCTTGGAATTTCCCAATTATGTGAATGAGTCACTTGAAATTGGATATCTATGCAAGGATGAAATGATTTCTTTAAACTTTTCTAACGGATTGATCATCTCTATTGATCAAAATTTTATTAGTAGTCCTTTGATTACTTGTCTCAACTTCGCCGGCACTCATATCCAGAACATCAGAAAGGGCGCCTTTGACAAACTTCCTAATTTGACTCAACTGATCTTTTCAAACAACAATATCGACTTGAACAAACTCTTCGACTTTGGAGGTCACGAAAATTTAAAGATTCTTATTCTGGATAGTGTAATTAAGAATAATGTTCCCATATCATCTGCAGTTATTTCCGGAGAATACCCTAATTTAGAAATCTTATCTGTTCGTAAAAACCTCATCAATGACTTAAAAATTATTACAGAAACTCAAGTCTCTAACTCCAATTTCGATATATTAAAGTCACCTTCGCAAGTTATACAAAAAATCCCATTCCCGAAATTGAAAATTCTAGATCTTTCCGACAACCGCATAACAGGTACCAATTTTATGGAGCTATTACCAAACAGTTTATTCTTTCTTGACCTCCATGGTAACTCGTTCACTTCTTTTGCCTTTGATAAAAAACAAGTAAACTTGTTGGCACTAAACTTGGATAAGAACAATCTGAAATCTGTGAAGAAGTACAATGATTCGCGTGATTTATCTGATTCATACGATCGATATAATCAACAGTATAATTATCAAAGATATAATCAATATCCATATACTCAAGATCCATATAGTCGGTATAATTTACGTAATCCGCATAATTTTGGTCTCGTGATGGCCGGCCTGGAAAATCTACATTATCTTTCCATTTCCGGAAACGAAATTAATCGTATTGAATCAAACGCTTTCGAGGACACTAACAAGTTAGTTTATTTGAACTTATCCATAAATAAAATAACTCATTTGCATTCAGAGACATTTGAAAAATTGCAGTCTTTGAGATCGCTCGATTTAAGTCTTAACAAGCTCGAGAACGTTCCGCAAATCTCAAGTGAAGTACTCAGCATTTTGTCTCTTAATTGTAACAATATCACTAAGAATCTAACTATAAACAGTTTCGCAAAAATGCCGAAGTTGACGAAATTGTTATTGGCAGGAAATCAGATCGACGAGATTAATGTTCAAATATTCGCTCATCTTTCACTTTTAGAAATATTAGATCTATCGAGGAACAAATTGAGTTTTCTACCGGAAGGATTAAGTGAATCTTTAACATCTTTAAAATATTTGAATGTGGAAGATAATCAATTTACTTCATTAGAATCTTTATGTTTGACAAATGTGTCACCATTGATGGAGGTGTATCTGGCGATGAATCCACTGGAATATTTAGATGTTAGCTACTTCCAGAACTTGCCACAGAATCTTACCGTAAATTTAGTACAGGGATCGGATTTTTCATACTGGAATTCCGATAAATGCGAGCCAAGAAAATAATTCTTATATATAATCATCATTATTATAATTATTAATAGTCATTTATATTGGTAATTTTTATTAGTTATTAAATACCAGTTAATCATGTTATATGATTTTTATAATTACGGATAACATATATAATACAGTAATAAACAGAATAACATATATGTATGCAGATAAAAAATAAAATAAAATAATATAAAAAAATAATTTATTAGGATTTTGTCCCCTGAATTTTAGAATATTTTCTGAGCATATATCTGTATAACTACCAACAATAAGAAACATTTTCAAAAAAATTTCTAATAAGCTACAAAAATTAGATAAATTGAGAATAATCTTATATCTAATTGATAAAACATAAGTTAGACAATTCTAATTTTTACAACGTTTCTTTAATCTATTTCAATTTTCATCATTTTTTGATATTCTTCTTGATATTATCTGATATTATTCTAATGAGATATTTAAAAGTTTGCATAAAAAATAACGAAATCATGAATATTGAAAAATATGTTTTCTTAATATGTAGATAACAATTTAGGAATCTTCATATTCTTCTATCATAAAATGCAAGATTTTCATATGCGTGCATTTTCTTTTTATGCATTTTACTATAAATATTGAAAAAGATAATCTTAAAATCTTTATAATAAAATAAGCTTTTATCAGAAAAGATTTTGACTTATTTTATTGAATATATTATATAGTGAGACAACTCTTCTTGAGAAATATACGCCGTACTCGGAACGGACATCCGGGTCACAAACGAGATAAAAAATTATTATTTGCTTTATCTATTCAGGAATAAACGTGTGCATGTTGATTATAGCATGCATTTTTTCGATACACTATGCTAAGCGATATTATATCGGTTTAGCTTTTTTGTCAGAACTGGCACGACAGCACAGTATTCCAAGAGCAGTCGTGATGAGAAGTACACTCCGGAAGTATACTTCACAAGAAAATTAGCAACTAATTTGAACAATTTTGTGAAGAAAACATTTTATTAACATGGTACGTTTAGTTTGTATATTTGTATGAGAAAATTTTTAATAAAAAAACATTTTTTTATATAAATTTTATATTAAGGAAAAATGTATTTTTATACTCTTATAGTATAATTATAATTATAAAAATTTTTGTCATTAATATAAAATAATTTTATTTATTGTAATAATATTCATATCATCTTTTACTCTATATTTCTAAAAGACATTTTTTATATTATATTTGCAGAGATCCAGTATCATGAAGTATTCTTTTACAATCATCACTTTCGTCTGTTGGTCCACGCTATCAACAGCTAATGATAGTCAAATCTCTTCGGAATTTCCTAACTATGTGAATGAGTTCGAACATCTGTGCAAAAATGAAATAATTTCCTTTAATTTTGCTAACGCAACGATCATCTCTATTGGTCGGGATTTTATCAGTAGTCCCTGGATATCTTGTCTCAATTTCACAAACACTCACCTCCAGAGCATCGAGAAGGGCGCCTTCAACAACCTTCCTAATTTGACTCAATTAATTCTTTCTAACAACGAAATCGATCGGGATAAACTCTTCGACTTTGGAGGTCACGAAAATTTAAAAATCCTTATTCTGAATAATGCAGCATCATCTAATGATGACGGTAATAACTACTATTACGACCAGCGGGTATCTGACATTTCTGAAGAATATCTTAATTTAGAAATCTTATCTGTCCGTAGAAATTATATCTATGATTTGCAAACTTCTACAGACAAAACTCCATTTCCAAAACTTCTTAGATCTTAGATCTTTCCGACAACAACATGAAAGATACCAATTTTGTAAAATTGTTGCCAAGAAGTTTATACTTTCTTGATCTCCACGATAATTCGCTCACTTCTTTGGTTTTTAATAGAAAACAAGTGAACTTATTGGCACTAAATTTAGATAACAATAATCTGAAATATATAAAGAAGTACAATGATTCACGTGATCATTCGTATAATCTATATCGACATTATAGATATAACATATATGATCAATCTAGTCAGGAAATTTATTCACATAGTCTAGTGATGGCTGGCCTGAAAAATCTACATTATCTTTCCATTTCAAGAAACAAAATTGGTTTTATTGAACCGAACACTTTCGAAGACACTAAGAAGTTAGTCTATTTGAATTTGTCCACAAATAATATAACTTACTTATATTCGGAGACATTTAAAAAATTGCAATCTTTGAGAACGCTCGATTTAAATTTCAACAAGCTCGAGGATGTCCCACAGATTTCAAATGAAACAGTAATCAGTATTTTGTCTCTTAATTGTAACAATATTAAGAATCTAATTTTGAATGCTTTTATACAAATGCCGAAACTGACGAAATTGTTATTAGGAGGGAATCAAATCGAAAAGATTAATGTTAAAAGCATTCACTCAGCTTTCGCTTGTAGAAATATTAGATCTCTCAAAGAACAAATTGAGTTTTCTACCGAAAGGATTCAGTAAATCTTTAACATCTTTAAAATATTTGAATGTGGAAAGTAATCAATTTACTTCGTTAGAGTCTTTATCTTTGACAAGTGTGTCAATGGAGGCGTATGTGGCGATGAATCCACTTAAATATGTAAATGTTAACTACTTAAAGAGTTTGCCGCAGAATCTTACCGTGAATTTGGTGCAGACATCAAATTTTGCACACTGGAATTTTGATAGTTGCAGAGAATCAGAGCAACATTATTAATGATAAATCTTTTGCTCATCTTTCGCTTTTAAAGATATTAGATCTGTCAAGGAACAAATTAAGTTTTCTACCGAAAGTAGTTTGAGTAAATCTTTCTTTAAAATATTTGAATTTGTAAGATAATCAGTTTACTTCGCTAGAATCTTTATCTCTGATAAATGTGTTATCATTGATGTATTTAGCGATGAATCCATTGGAATATTTAAATGTTAGCTACTTCAAGAATTTGCCGCATAATCTTATTTTAATTTGTTTTGAAATTCCGATAAATGCGGGCCGAAATACTTTATTACGATGCAATAGATATGTCGTTTTGTGTAAATAATTCAACATTTTTACAAAAAGCTTTTTTCATAAAAAGGCTTACTGAAATCCGGTGTTTTTATAAAAAGATAAAATCTTTTTTGTAAATAGGTTAAAGAGCCTGCGACAGATATACAAAAATATTTATATGTTTGATATAAGAGAATGACAATGATAGATTTTTCGCATCTGTAGCATCGAAAATTGAATATACTCTAGCATTAACTAAACGCATATATAATAGCTCTATAATCATCATTATTATAATTATTAATATTCAATTATATTTGTAATTTTAATTAATTATTAATACCACCTAATCATATTATGTGTTTTTTTATAATTACGGATAAATATAGGGGAAAGTAGAGGTAAAACCGGATACTTTTTTGGATTTGTCTTGTTACAAAAAATCAGAGAGCAAAAAGAATTCTACTGACCTTTAATAGTCTGTAGTGAACCTTGAACTGTGAGAAAAAGAGGCTAGTTGCTAAAAAAAAAAATATTTAGTTACCAAGGATAAAAGGATATTTTGAAAATACCCATTTTGTCAAAATATCCGGTTTTATCCCACCGGTAGGATAAAATCGGGTACCCATTTGAAAGCATGTAAAACACCGAGCAATTACGAAATCTTGATTTATTTTAATCAAAATACAATACAAAAATGTATTTTATAAACAAAAATCACAAACAAAGATATCCTTTTGCTCTACATTGCTCAAGGACTTTCTTATTTAATTTTTTATCTTTAGGAGTCTTAAAAAGTTTTTTTTAATGGTTTTTTTTTTCTGAGTGGCAATCTCCATTTCCAACTGCTTTTTCTAGAGAGACAAAGTCAGAATGATAATTTTTCTTCTATTCATTACACAGTAGGGCAAAAAACCACTTTTTCTTTCTCTTCAAAGTGCGATAGTACGTTTCTCGAAGATTTTTCCGCGCTGAACACGGTGCCGTTGTCAGAACTTGCCTAGCACGTCAGGATTTTGAGTAAATTGGAATGAAAAGGGCCAAAAATGGCGTTTTTGGCCATTTTTACATTCTTTTTGCGGCAAAAGAAAATTGGTTTCTAAATAAACTTAATGGTATCTGAAAGTATAATTCAAGAGCTTTCAAACGAATTTTGGTTCATGATCGTATGACTTTTTTTCATCAAGTTATAGCTGTTTGAATTCTAGGCTTTTCGTATAATCTACAGTACAAGAAAGGCAAATACATACTTGCTTGCAAATATGCTTACTTTATTTTTTGCAATGCTCAATTTTCGAAATACGTTTATATATTTAATACCTGTACCGTTTAAAATCCAATGTTTTCGCAAAATAATAAACTTATGCGCAGACACATAGCCACTTATACATAGACAAATAAACAGGTATAAGAGGTGCTTGAGAAACGCTTTGCAGTCAATAATTCCGCCATTTTGAATTAACAATTAAGTGTAATACCATATGTATTTAAACTTTATACTTGATCTATTCTTTGCAAGTAAATTCATATTACAATTACTTTTTTTATTTGCTGCTATATATAAGTATGTATTTACTTTTCTTGTAAATTATACAGAATGTCTAAACTTCAAACAGCCATAACTTGATGAAAAAAAGTCGTACGATCATGAACCAAATTACGTTTGAAAGCTCTTGAATTATACTTTCAAATGCCATTAAGTTTATTTAGAAATCAGTTTTTTTTTGCTGTAAAAAATGTTAAAAATGGCCAGAAACGCCATTTTTGGCCCCTTTCATTCCAATTTACTCGAAATCCTGACGTGCTAGATAAATCCAGACAACGGCATCGTGTTCAGCGCAAAAAAATCTTCGGGAAACATACTATCGCACTTTGGAGAGAATTTTGTGTCCTACTGTGTTATATGAGGTGTGTAGAGTACCCGGTTTTGCCCCAACATGAGAAAAAAACACAGCGGCTGTACATTCCGGCGTACAAAGTGACGATCAAAACTAGTGCGATATACTCTCTAATACGTACAGAATGCAATGCTGCATTTACCGAAACAGATGCTCTGTATAGAAAAAGTCCACGAGACTTAATTGCTACCCTGATATCCATCTTTTTTGGTTCAAAAATTTTATACTTCTCTCAAAAAAATATCGTTTGCATATGGGTACGTTTCATTTCAAAATAATGATGGTGTCAAACTACAACTATAATAATACGAGTTGTCCAAAGATAGTATCACTTATCACGAAGAAACAGAGGTACCCGGTTTGACCCGCTTATTCGGCTTTACCCTACTTTCCCCTATATGTTATAGAATAATATATATGTAAACAGACCAAAAATAATCTATTAAAGAAATAATATAAAATTAAATATAAAAGTGATGACGATGTGAGAGATCTCTGTTTTATGATTTTTGACATTTTGCGGCTAACCGACTAAATATTTGCGATGTGGTCTATACTTCTGTAATTTTTATTGTTCCTTGCTTCTTAATTTATATTATTAGTCCGTGCGCTGATGATGGCCCAAAGAAGGGCCAAAACGTTCGCTTTACGCGTATTTTTATGTTACATTGAGATGTTGTTTATAATAAACTTTTATGCGCCCTTATTACTGCGCTGTGTTCGCATTGCTATTGTATCTCATTCTTAACAAATAACATAAAATAATATAAAAAAAAAATTATTAAAGCTTTGTTCCGAATTTTATCAGGAGACACAGTAGTGTCTCGCGCCAAATCACGCGAAGCAAAGATCGCGCGCAGCAACGCCGAGACGCATCGTGTTATCTATACGCGAGTCGGCCAGTTGAGAGATGTATGTGAGATTATCAGTTCTCAATAACCGCTGAACGGATTGAGTTCTTACTAAGCTTAATCGACAATTTGAGTTTGAATTACGTCAAGAAAGTGTCTTTATTTTTGTTCTATATGTACTATGAGCAGATAAATTACGATGCAAAGTCCCAATGTAGCAGATTTGATTATATTTGGTCGTCATCAACCCTTCTCTGTGGTGACACCATCGGATAAAACAAATCTTGTATCAAATTTGCATTCGTCTTGTGAACAAAATTTATAGCAAGTTTTAACAAAATTTGTTTCCGGCAGACTTGGCTATATATACAGGGTGTCTCACAACCTCCGTACAATACTTTAATAGTGTATGCTAGAGATAAAATAGAGTCAAAAATTCTAATACACAAATTTTGAGGCTGCAATAGTTTTTGGCTGATATTAACAAACTATAAATGTTGTACGTAAAATATTTAATTTTTTCTTAAATAATAATTTAAATAGTTAGATGATTAATTATTATATTTAAATAGAAATATAAACTTAATATTTTCACACATTTAAAGCTAGTTTCCCACGATGCGATTTTTCGTGCAAGTTCACTTGCGAGGAGCCTTGCCAGCCACCGTGCAGGCTACGCAGCGAGAAAACTTCCGGCAGACTTGGCTATATATACAGGGTGTCTCACAACCTCCGTACAATACTTTAATAGTGTATGCTAGAGATAAAATAGAGTCAAAAATTCTAATACACAAATTTTGAGGCTGCAATAGTTTTTGAGTTATATGCGATCAAAGTTTGGCAATAATATCGCGTAGAGTTCGCGCGCTCAAATCCGTAATTACATAAACGCGCGTACCGAGCTGTCATTTTTTATTGATTTTACAAATTAGATAATATTGATTTTAACTGCACAGCTAATTTTATTGTTTCTTACGTGTATGAGTACTATGTACAGCGGTCTCAGCCAATGCATGTGACAAAATTGACATGATCTTGTTGTTTTTTTTTGGTTATCATTGTATGCCATTTTTTCATCCAAAGTCTTCTTTGTTGTCTTTTCATGACGGTTTCTTTCCACTTCTATAAAATTAGCAAACGAAAAAGTGCTCCTAAACTTTTCTTGCGTCATTTTTCAAAATTTTTTTTTGAGGAGCAGCGCACAAATTATCATCCGTTCCATCCGCTAAGCTAGCTTTGCACCTCGCTCCGTGTGAAGCGAAAACCTGCAGCGCGCCCAGCTTAGCTTTATGTAATGTAAAGCGCAGGGCAGCAAGCAGCAAATCATGCATGCTATCCAACACGAAAAATCGCATCGTGGGAAACGGGCTTAAGAAACGAAGTTTATTTTTGTTTTGATCACACGAAGAAGTTTTGTGAAATTCAATTTATTTATTTTATTTGTCAGCAATAACAGGATGAAATCAGTACGTGTGTAAGTGTAGTTACGAGTCTGAGGGCACAAATTCTACGCAATATTATTAGCAAACTTTGATCACTTATAACTCAAAAACTATTGTAGCCTCGATATTTTTGTATTGAGATTTTTTACTCCATTTTGCCTCCAGAATATGCTATTAAAATATTGTACCGAGGTTGTGAGACATCCTGCATATATAACATATATTTCGTATAGAGCATGATATCGAGTTTATATAATCATTACTAATAACTTATAATTTTATAACATTATACTATATAATATTGAATATAAATAAGGCAACGATAATATTATTAATTAATAAATATATTGTTAAATAAATTTACAGCTTACCTTTTTTCTAATCTTTTGTTCTTACTTCTTTTTTACATGTGTCATCCGCTACTTTGAAAAAACGTTGACGTTTCTCGAATAATTAACAGTCATGATGCGCAAATATTAAGAGATGAAGCACGCATTTCGAATATGACCCATTACGCAAGCAAATTGTGAGAAAATATATCCCCGTGTGTATGTACATGTCGTAGTATATATTTACATATGCATATGCTGGATTGTATAATTATATAAAAAATTATGTATAAAGAGGTTTATGCATATGTAATTATTTTATAATATATATATAATCCTACAGAGAAAGTAAGAGAGAGAAAAAAAATCATAAAAGAATCCATTCTATCAAATACAGTTTCCATTGCATATTTATTTTTTTTTAAATAATTTAAATTACAATTCTTTTTTCTTTTGTAAAGATGAAATAGCTAATATTAAATTAAAATAATAAAAAAAAATGGAATAGTAGAATTTTTGGTAATACATAACATTAAAATCATTATTTCTTTATAACCTTATCAAAACATTAATTATTTTAAACTAAAATTTATTTAATTTCTAACTCTTTTAATTCTCGAGGTCTTCCACGTATTACACATGACATTTCAGATAAAGATGTTTTAAGAATGATAGATGACTTTATTTTTCAATCTAAAACACACATCCATTATTATGTAAATTATATTTTTTTTCTTATTATTTGTTTGAGTAGGGGAAATACAATAAAAGCGTTAAAGAAGTAATAATATCCGCATATCAGTAGTAACATTAATATAAAACTGTAATATTATTTCGTTGTTCTCATTGCTCAGTACAATGATATTTATAAGTGTATTAACTATTCTGGTATGTATTGCCATAAGTTACTTCGTCCTGAGTTACCATCGCCGATGGTCTTCTAAAACCGTAAATACCTTGCCTGGTCCAAGAACACTACCGTTTATTGGGAATGCCCACCATCTTCTCCAGCGAAATCCTAACGGTGATTATAAATAAATAATACAATGAAAAAATAATACACCACTCAAAAAAAAAAAAATAAGAAACACTTTTCATACCCTAAAAATTGGGCTGCTTTCAAACCGCTGAAACTCGACGAAAAATCATCGTAGACAATAAACAAAAAAGCATTTTGAAGCTTGAAGTTTCAACTTTAACGCGCTATCGGTGGTTTTTTAAAATTTTTTTATCTTCCTTGTTCTGTGCTTAAAAAAAGAACACATTGTTTTGTTCCTTAAAATTATGTACTTTTGACACTCCGCAGCACGATAAAAAAAATTTCTCTCGAAAAATTCAACTCAAGTTCCATAAACTACAATATTTTGCCTACAAAATGCTTTTTTAAAAATTTTCCTACAATTTCTTTTTTGACCGAGTTACACGATTTTGAAACAAAACCTGTATTTATATAAATAATACGATACTCGGCCAAAAATCATCGCAGATAAAAAATTGAAAAAACATTTTGAAGCTTGAAGTTTCAACTGTAACGTGACACCGATAGCTAAAAAAATTTTTTTTTTCATTTCCAGAAAATACAGATTAAGTGGAATTTTTCAAGAGAAATTTTTTTATCGAGTTGCAGAGTGTTAAAAATACCTAATTTTAAGAAACAAAACAATGCGTTCTTTTTTAAAACATGAACAAAGAAAATTTATAAAAAAGTTTAAAAACCACCAATACATCGTTAAAGTTGAAATTTCAAGTTTTAAAATGCTTTTTTAATTTTTTGTCTACGATGATTTTTCGTCGAGTTTCAGCGGTTTGAAAAGAGTCCAATTTTTAAGGTATGAAAAGTGTTCCCTATTTTTTTCAGTAGTGTAGTATTAATGCTTAATTTATAGAATAATAATAAAAAATTAGCAAAACATACACACATACTAGTTTTAGAAATATAGTATTTTTAGAATAAAAATTTATTTTTGCTAACATTATATTATTTCAATATAATAAAATATATAAATATATGTACTACATTAGACAATAAGTTATTTAATATTTTGCAGAAATGTTGAATATTTTCACTAAGTGGGCAAAAGATTATCCGTCTCCATTCCGAGTTTGGATGGGTAACAAGTTATTAATTTTTTTAAATGAACCAGATCAAATAAAGGTAGTGAAATAAAACATATTCGTATTCTACAATATAACTATACTACATAAAAAAAAATTAAAAGGCCACTTTCTTCTACGGAAAAGGCAATTTTCAAGTGACTGCAACTTCATCGCATATAATCAGATTGAGATCAATAGAAAAGCGTTACAAAGTTCCTAGTTTCAAAACCTTTCAGTCGAGTTCAATTCTTTTTATTTGTTACAAAATTACGTTATGAGAAAGCGATGTCCGTCGATTGACTTTGTCAAAAGTTTGTCAAGGAGTGCTGAAGAAAAAAAATTGTAGCGCATTTTCGTTAACTTGATTTTAAAAAGCAGAGTTTTATCTTTAATTTGCTTTTTTAATGAATGTCCTATGATTTTTTTACCGAGTCATTCACTACTGAAGTAAAATCAATCTATTGACTATGAGCGTTCATAACTAGTGGAAAAATTATCGCATAATAATTATTAAAAAAGCAATTTAATCTCGTTTGCGACAAAGTTGCAGCCTCTTGAAAATTGTCTTTTCTGCGAAAAAGGAGGAAAGTAGCCCTTTAATTTTTTTGCGTAGCGTATTTATGTCAAATTCTGCTTTACAAAAAATGTAATAATTTTTATGAACTATTATAATTTATATCTTTGATGTAATCAATATAATTTTCCAAAGATGTCA